AATTGTAAAACATATTACATGATGCACTGCTTTTAAAAATTATATAAATTTGTTAGATTGGCTCTAGTTTTAGAGATACAGCTCACTGCAAAGCTACTATAGTTCACTAGGGTAACCGTCAAAATACAAAATTCCTAATTAAATTACTGATTTATGATGTATTTTAAGGCTTTGGTTTAAAACATTAGCAGAACCGAAATCATGTCGCCATTGTAGTTGCACATTATTTTCCTCGAACGCATACTAATTGCAGATAGTAATTAACTACATCGAATCTATTCATTTCGCGACCCAGTTACAAAGAAACTATAATATTATTGTAAAAGTGTTAGCTCTATAAATTCCACAAATTCTCTAATCCTCCTACACACGCCTATTACTCGCAGGTAGGTACTTTAATACCCAACACTCGTCTACTTTTTTAAGCAATCTCTATTTCTGTCCAATTCTAACTCCGCAAGTTTTTCCAATAATACATGAGTAAAGCCTTATTTACGCAAGGACATTATGGGTATTTGTCCAGGGCCCATATACTAGATTTCATCCTTTTAATTTTATTTACAACTTATAATAATCGGCCCATTTTTTTCTTTTGTCCGGGGTCTCGAAAATTCTAAATCAGGCTCTATATACACCTCCTTTGTTATAAACATTTTTAATAAAGACTACGTTATCTTATTATTCACATTGTTGTAAATCCCGGGGTTATAGGATACTTAGCATCCCCATAATTTGTTCGGATCTATAATCTAGTAATACAATTGTAGCCAAAGGTCTGTGATGCATACAACCATTGATTTGTCAATTACATAAACAATGATACAATGTTACTAGTACATTAAACATAAAAAAATGAAGCTGAACTTGTGCCTACAATTGTTTATTTCACAGTTCTTTTAATACACTAAACAATTACAATTATACTGCTCAATTTATTGTTGTTTCCTATATTAAATTTGATTAAACTGACTGTCAAGTTGTAAAGTGGCTGAAAGTGGTCAACCAGTATAGTTGGGGCCATCCTGCTAGTTCAAATTCAGGTCACCTGTTAAGTTGTGTTCAATTATGATGGCCGCTCACATGCAACATGTAGCAATTTTTTGTCCAGAGTTGTTTCATATTTGTTGCATTTCGATATGCCGTGTTTGACAAATCTCACCTTAAACGTGGAGCCGACTGAACGCATCGTTAGAGAAAAGCGCGCAAAACTGATACGTGATTGAAAAATTGCTAGCAGAGAAAACAGCCTATACAGTTTATATGCATCAGCATGTGTGTCACTCGGGCAGGCGACATAAAAAGGAAAAAAATAATAATATAATGAAAAAACTGGCTATTGTTGACCATGTATAACATTCATTGTGTAGGAATTAAGGCAAACGTGACGTTGTATTGATAGTAGCGCAGTTTCCCGAACGTTTATATTAAAATTATGTACACAATATATATCATTTTGTAAATGATCTCTAGGCCCTTACAGGTTTAAGAGCGGTGATGACATTCGAACCCAAGAAAAATGTTTTGTTTGTTTACTTTGCATTATTTTGAAAATGCGTATCATTCTTGATAAACAATAAATAATAGCTTAATTTCATTATTTAAAGTTGTTGTTGGTGATATCAATATTCTTAGTAAATAAATTATGGATCAATAACCGCAAAGTGTTTGTTAAATATTTGGTATTTAAAAATGTACAAACAACGAAAGAAGATATTAGGAAATGTTGGATATCATAAATCTTAAATAAATATTAGTGATAGAAATTAATCGGATTTTCGATTATTTGTAGTTAAATCACAACTCTAGTAAATATTTTTGCTTAAGCATTTAATCGTTTGAGCAATACGTTTAATAGCAATTTTTAATAAATATTTTAAAACTATAATCCTAATCGAAAGCAGAAGAAAATGTATTTAAATTTAGAGCATGCAAGCCAACTACCTTATATATTAGATATCATATTAGAATACGAGAGCGGAAATTAATGAACACGGTGTTACTCTAAAAACGCTCTCGTCCAAAATAAGGTCCCGTTTAAGCTTATGCGTTGTGGTCACTCAGCGTTCATTTTTATTTGTGTGTGCTAAACCGTTAACGGCAGCCAAGTCGACAACTACATTATCTGCAGCGATAATTGCGATGATGATGATGTATTAATTGTAATTGTTGGTGGATGTATTTCCGATGTTACCATGGGTCATGACCATGATGGCCGCGCAAGCAATTATTATACATAGCCAAAGCCACGCTCTAGTTAACATGATTATCTGACGATGGGCGACTGAGAGCCAACATGATCAAATCCAAACAAGCGGTTAGCCGATTAAGCTATAGCATGGCGACTCTTATGGCACTTCCGAGAACAATAGAAAGCTGCCGTTGCTATTACTTAATTTGCTCGTCTTATCGCCCAAACCGATTGCAGATAACTCGGCGGTGACCTCTCGCAATTTATGGACAACTTATATATTATAAGATTTTGGATCCGTTTTTTAAACAACAAAAAACGGTCCACATGTAAATGGCGTATGGCTAAAAATTATTATTCGTTTGCTTTGTATCGCTCTCTTTATTTCTTTGTGTGTATGCTTTGTTTACTAGAAATGTGATTGGACACGCTTCGAACACAACCGCTAGCGCAGCAGTATCGCCTAAACGAATTGTAGATTGTGTTTACAAGTTGTTTGGGTGATAGTCACTACAGAAAACACCATAGATTTTGTTAGCTAGTATGAGTTTATAATGACAATACCTATACAACAAAAAAACACAAAGATAACGTTTTCTGCGTTTCGAATGTATTTGTACATCCGTACCACATCTTGCCGAATGTGCCAATGTCTTTAGAATTTCACGTTGAATCATTTCTCACTCTCATAATCCGAGCTACTTGTGTACTGATATTGTAGCATAGTAACCTGGTTAGGGGTTAGCTCGTTTTGGAAACTTATTGAGTATAAATTCTAAAATATCAACGTTAAAGTCGATGTATTGGTGTATTGGTGTATAAAATAAGCGTTTCAACAATTGCAGCTGCGCAAACAAGTGTAGGTACTATTAATATGGCGTGACAAATAAGATTTAAAGATATTTTTTGTACACATACTACATGGTACAATATAGTATATGAAATTATAGTTCAGAAGACAAAAGTCTGACTTTGGAACAGCTGCGACAGTATCCTAACAATAAAAATCGGTTTAAATATATTATTTATAAGGTAAAAAAAAATACTAAAAAGACAAGCGACGTTAAGCAAATTACAATTTTAAAAAAATTACTAGACTGCGTGTGTAGCACAAATACAATCAAATTGGTATCTAGGAGTGCATCCGTTAGTATCTATTTTGAGAACTCATAAGCAACAACTCATTTGACTCATCGACCTCGACACTTTTCCCAAAGTGTCACACGTTAATATTATTACATGGGTACCGCGGTTATTATAATATTATCATCATCTGATAGCGCGGTTGAAAAGTCATCGCCTCGCCGAGACGTCCTGTGTTCACGACACGTAACTTAAAGTCACGAAGTGTTCACCGGAGGAGCCACCGTTACTCGTATGAAAACGCCATTAGACCAAGTACAAACGATAGTAATCATATTATTATTATATATGTATATATATATATGTATACAGTATACATAACGATACCATTCCGCCGGCTAATATACTCACCAAACCGTTATCGTCGCCAGCTAAGTCTCGGCTCCAGCTGTATTACTGTACCCTCCTACTGACAGGCTTTGTTTACCTGGCAAACTACATTCTTACGACCTGTTAGCGAGTATGCGGTTCGCCAACGGCAAGCATACGGCAATACTTATAATTATTAGTAATTACTGAGGTCGCTAGTTGAATGCGGGGCCGCCAGTATAATATTTCCAATGCAAAATCCGGATGCAGTTTGCATATCGATGCCACCGATTACTGCACCAAAGTATAATGAAATTATCCAAATGCTACGCAAATGGTTCTCAAAAATTTGACAGTCAAGACATGTTTGTAAATAGGTCTTCTCCAATCTAGATTACCGACTAATAAGTTAAATATTGGAATCAGAAATTATAAATAAATTCGCAAATAATATAATTGTATAATACACATAAAGCCGTTATTGTAAATGGAAAATATACTATCTAGTTAATGATTTAGGAGAGTATTAATGTTATGATAATGCCAGAAAAAGATCAATTTAAATTTTCGAGAAGCGCCAAAAAGTAGTTACCCTAGAGTACTTATTATGGTTAGCACGACATTGGTGATTTTAATGGAGAAAGATAATACTATTTAAAAATCCTAACCTAACCTAAACAAATATATTAAATTGAAAATATTATTTTAATTATGCTTACCTTACTTATACACATTATTTTTGCCACTTCTAATTTTCGCTACTTTTATATTTTAATCAAATTGAAATATTCAATATAAAAATATAGGAAAGGTACTTTTCAATCTAGCTATCAGTAACTATTGGAAAAAAACCGCCATCAAATTATTAACTCATTACTTTTTCACTTATTTTTTTAATATTTAAGACTTTTATCATGCCTAACGGTACAAAACCCACCAAATCTTCGTAATTCTTATTCAAACAACCCAAGTAATCGCTAAAGTAATAATTCCCAAAATATATTTAGGCTGCATATGGCGCATTATCGACCATTAAAACAACAACAAACGAGCATTATTTCAGAACGCGTCATCAAGAAAGACTGTAAAAAAAAATAATAATAATAATATTTCTGATAAGAATAAATTACTCGACTTACAATAACACGCGTGCATGTTGAAGTGTTGAGCAAATATACACGTATAACCAAGGTAGTGGAAGTGGAGAGAATATAATATCTGTAACCTGTACCATAGGTGGCTTTGCGACAACCACGCTTATTCTTCTACGGTGTGGCTTAAACCGATAACCATCCGCGAGCTCCTCGTACTTTATTTTTTAAGACTGTTCTCCTTTAATGGTGTTGTCGTTGATTTCCAGGGTACAAAATGCCACCAGGTGTAGCCGTGTCCCCCGGCTCGATATCATCGGGTTACGCGAGTTGCACTCTCATAAATCCCGACAGACAACCGGACCAACAACAGACTTTCCGTGGAAATTGCTTGGAGACCGTGGATTCACATTTAAACAACAGTAGCAGCAGCAGTAGCAGTAGCAGTAGTAGTAGTGCCGGAAGCGGCGAAAGCGCAGAACTTTCCGACAAAGACCAAATTCAAGTGGAATCTTGCTACAAAGGTTTAAAAACTCAGGTAAACGATTTTATTACAGTTAAACTTTACCGGTGTCTCTTTGAAATTTTATTTTTTTATATAAATCCATCAGTCCCTACTATGCCCCAACTCCACCGTACTGGCTTTTGACATTGTCATGTCTTAGCTCGGCCACATAACCGACAAAACTGTTGGTCACAAAAAAGTGTTACCAAAAAAAAACCTGTTACCAAAAATTGTTTGACATAAATGTTGTATTCACAACGTTCAAACTAAAACTGGAAAATAAATTCAATAATTTAAGAGGTTTTAATCCTTTGATTTGTTTTAGGACAGATATTATGAAAACACTAAAATACTAGCCAGAAACTTGATATGTTTACTAGCCACCTTAGATACTAGCTTGTTACTGATTGTTAATATACTATTTCATTATCTATAATTCCACCACTGCTCTAAAATGTATTCGGTACTTCAACGAGACATGACAATGCTCTTTCGTGGTTGCAGACTCGTCTGAAAAATGTTTTTTAGTTAATTTGTATATTCTAGCCGGAACACGGTTACCTCCATGGCTTCATTCCAATTTCTTATTATTCTACAAGAACTTTTTAGAAACTGTTGTTTTTGTTTAAGAAACTTGCTAATATTGTTAGATATATTATAAATTATACACTACGATAAGCTGTCAAGCTAGCTCGGGTTGTATTCAATATCGATAGATCTATATTTTTTTAGATCAGTGATTTCCTCAATTTTATCTATGATTTATCCAACCAATGTCATGGTTACTAATCTGGACATTAATGTGAAATGAGTATACTGCAGAGTGCAGTCTGCAACTTAATGAAGCAATTAAAAAGGAACTTTATTCTTACAAATAACTCATTTTTTTCACTTAATTTTTTCATGCATTAGTAACTAAACTGAGTAATTTTTTTCTGAGAGTGACTAGTAATTTACAAAGTACGGGTTATTTAAATTAAGTAACCATGATTTCTATGATATGCAACAATATATGATACTGATATAGTACATCGTTACAAAACATAACGTTTTATAGTAATTTTGTTCTTGAGGGACGATTATAATGATATGATGAGTATAATAGTCGCACGGCGGTCTTTTAACAGTGTATTTTTTTATATTTTTTATACATACGCCTTTCTCTATGTGTGTCCATGTTATTAAATATGTATTTTTTACTCTATCATTAAACGTGCTAGCTGGATCATAAAAACCATATAAAAAACATTCGATTTAGCATTTACCATTGTCATGCGGTAGCACCGTTAACCGTCGTTGTTTTTTTCTTTTTCGATCAATTTCTATGTAAAAAATGTGTAACCGTTCCCTAAAACGTGCACCCTACAGCTTAAAACTAAAAATAATAAGTCTGTTCGATAATATGAAAATGAAATGTTCCGTTCTATTATATACCGTATTTTAAAACGTTCAGATAGCGCATAGCATTATTACATGTGAACATTTTTCAAAAAGTAATTGATCGATATTATGTGTCGCAAACACTCTTAAAGTCAACTTGATATGTATTTATCGTAAAAATATTAGTAGTTACAATAAATTACACAAATTCCTTTTTTATTCGATAACACAATAACACAATATGATACTTCACATCCGTACCTTGTTAAGCCAGCATATCAAGTAGCAATTCGAAATGATCAGGTATAAAAAAATAACATAATATAAAGTACTTCCTATCTGTACTTTTTTTACGATAATTATTAATAATTAAAAACAATATTTTGACTCCGTTATTATATCGTATTACGTTACAATCCACTCAACGTTACGCTTGAAAACATCAAGCAACATTTCATTAACTTAACCAAGTAAAACGTCAACTAAGTAACCATCAGAGTGTGTATTATTAATTATAAGTTATAACCTTAGACTGGCATAATTGGTAAAAAACATTCGCAGTGTGAATTACCGTCGCTACATTGATACCAAACTTGATTATCGATCACACATTTCTCAAGTCTATAATAAAATGAACAATAACAAGTATTTTCATTACCATTGTATAGAGGTGGTTAAACTGGTGGAAATGGTTAATCCTGTGTATTCTGTAAGCGAATCCTCCGTTTTGACAATAATCATAAGTTCTAATTTTTGATCTGAATATATTATATTCGTTGCTTACTGAACTTAGAAAGTCGTACATTTGATCGTTAGCCAATTGCGTTTAATCATCTAGGATTGATTTTTAGGTATTCTTCGTATAGGTAGATACTACGAAGACGGCGATTTGTTGACTGTGTACACCGCGATACCTTTCGTTTAAACCAAAGCACCGCACTTAGTGTGTACTATAACCAGGCTTATTACTAATCGAGGTGTTTACCATTTTGCCAGGTTTTCGTTTGCGGATCTATGGCCAACCTGTACTTGCACAACAACTCGTCGTCGGCCGAGGGCACTTGGGATTTGAAGTTCACCGGCATTCCCGTGGTGTTGTACGACAGTGGTGAGACTCGGTCACGGGACAAGCCTCGCATCCAGATTTTGTTGGTAGAACGAGGCACATGCTTTGCTTTGTGGCAGGACACCATCGACAACTTGACATCGTACAAGGTATCCAGCCAGGGATTTCACACCATGTGCCTTTCTACCGACCACACGCAGCTGATAGGGTTGAGCTTTGACTGTGCCGACGCTGCCCAACAGCTTTGGGCCCACATTGAACGGCTCACCTCGGACCCCGAAAACATCCGGCTGTCGGGGCCCGGAAGTCGGTCAAAGCACAACCGGAAGCAAAAACACCGACCAGCTCCGGTCCGTCGTCTACCGGACAAGTCGCACATCTCCCAGCCGTGTTGCTTCGAGCACGTGACCAACGTGGAGGCGTCCGACAGGGCCAGGTACTACTCACTGCAGAACCTGCTGCCTACGCCGGCCATGACCGTGGACTCAATGGCTGACGTTTGAGACCGAAAAGCTGGTCAACATTTTCATATTCCATACAATTATTATATTATAATTTAAACAAAATAGGGATCTCCGTAATAGTCGCACACTCGTCCACGACGAGAACACTATGAACGAATACTGAATGACGATGATATAATTATTATATCGACCAGGAGAAAGAAATGATGGTTATTATCATTATATTCTAAACTTATTTATTTATTTTTATTTTTATTACATCGTGATTTTTATTCCATGTAGTAATAGTTAGCTGTTAAGCCATAACCCTTTTTAAGTATACACAGTATTTTGTTATTATTATTACTATACGATTAATATTATTTTTGTTATGAAACCGCTTTATATTTTCACTATATAAATTATTTGAAACCTAGCATCAATGAAATGTATTATATGATAAGATAAATGTAATAATAATAATTTATATGTGTTTATTGATTAACGAAGGGACAAGAACTATAAGGAGGACACGTTTAATAAGTTTTCATTAATTTTATCTTTTGTCTTGCGACACTATATTATTATGATTTTGTTATAGTATTCAAATTTATTTATCTTGCTAACTAACAAGTTTTCATGCGAACTTTTTTAACAATCATTTGTACACCATTGTTGTTTAATTATAACCAAAAATGTGTGGTTAGTCTCTCCAAATTAACCTAGTTGCATCCTTGTGATCTCAAGCCCTTCACGTGTGTTTATATGATATACAAGACAGACATCGTGATATTATGTATAAGAATGTAAATTAACTATTTTAATAAATCTAATATTTGCTATTCAATTTAGATAAAACGTACAAAGAAAAAAATTGTTGTGAAGCAATTTGTAACTGTTGTAAAATATCAGAGATAATGATAATGTACATTTTATTTCAATAATTATTTTTAGTATAGTATCAGAAATAACTATCGTCACTAAAACTAACATTGAGTGTTGACGTACGATAACTTACGCAATGCGCACATATTAATTATTCATTTTGTGTAATCTATACAGCACTGACATTGTTAAACTTGACAAGTCATTTTTCAGTAACTATTGTAAAATATTTAATTACCTTGTACCATTTTAGTTTAGATTTTAAATCGACACTCGGAGAATAATTGTTTGCATCACAGACAAATAATTATCGCTTCCTAAAATTATTGTAGTATTAATTTTCAAAAGAATAATTTGATTAAATCAATAACCGTTTTCCTAAGATAATGTTTAAGTAAATATCAATGTAAATAAAATGTCATGACTAATTAGTAATTACTACGATTACTCAATTACGTTTATACAAATACATAATATTTTAATTGTTTGTATTGAAATATAATAAATAAATACATTTTATTTTATTTTCCTCGTTCGTGTAATTAGTTATTACTAGCTATAACGATAAACAATATTAATTATATTATAGTACATAATCTGCTATAGTATTGCAGACTATTTATTTACTCTGAAATCATACATTATTTGGGAAAATATATGTTTGATTTTTAAATATATGTGTGCAAATACCTATTAACAGAAACAAACAAAACAATCGTAATATTTTTATTATTTTAAAAATACTATGTGATCATAATCTAATCATAATCTAAATTTAAAAAACATTTTGTCATTTAAAACCCGCTTTTAATTATAAACTTCAGTACGAATGTTATCTTATGTCGATTACAAAGAGTTTTTAATTTTAATATTTTAATGTATAATAAAAAAACTGCGATTAAAATAGTCTTATATCATTCAATAAGACATTGAAGTATAATGTTATAAAATTATGTACTAGAGACTAAGTTAAATGCTAACTAGAAAATCATAGCTATGTCTATTGTAGTAGGTATTTTCCACTAAAAAAAAAACAATTTATTAGTGGTTGCTATTGACTAAGCAGTGTTAACGAATATAAATAAATTAAATTAATGGGTTGAGTGTTGACGATTTAGATGACTGAACTCGCATAATGAAATAATTACATCCGGGACTAATCTACTATTAAAGTTTTTGTAATTTTAAACCCCCAAATGAAATTCGATTGCTGATATTTAATTGTATTAACTTTTAAACAAAGTGAATTAATAGACGTTATGTTGGTGAAACATATAAACTACAATTACTAATTCAGTAATTCTGCTTTTAAGAAAAAAAAACAGTTAAACCATATGTGGTTTTAAGTTTTCCTGCTTATATTTAATTATACGGTATGCTAATATTTTGAATCGTCATGTATTATCATACTACAATGTGTTATTAAAATTAATATTATGCTAATTCCATTTTTTTACTTTGAAAAATTCCCACATATTAAATACAAAATAAAAAATATGAATTTAACACTACATTATAATATTTTGGATTATAAAATGGTTGAATTTTTCATGTTAATATAAAGAGATAGAAGTGTGTATAGTAGATGTGGAGAAAGAGGATAGTCAATGTCCAATGACAATCCCAATTAGGTATATGAAATGTAGCATATAAGAAAATAGTATACTCCACTTGCTATTTTAAATAAATAGGTAACATAATTAATTGTAGTTTTACCAATAATTAATGGATAATATATTATAATCATTAGAATTCTTATAATTATAATATTATATTTATAATCAATTATCAACTTACTAGTCTTTGGTATCGGCTAAGTTATACGACATGCACGATAGATGCTACCTAATTTTTGATTAGGTAGCATTAGGCCAGATTATTCAAATTTGTATTATTTATAAATAATGTCCAGTAAATAAATTTACCAATAAAGGAAGTGTTTGTTGTAAATTACCAATCCCAATACATTATTTATCAAGATTACTCATATAGAATGTAATATTCTCGATGAATATTCACTCAGAGTAATAACATTATGAGTTACATTGTTTTCCCTGTAATATTATTGGCAACAATCAGCAAACATCAATCAACTGGGCACACAGGCAACATCTTCTGACTAGACAAAGATCTAAAAACTGCAACAATAATCGGTTAACAAAGAAAGTTTTAATTATTATAATATCTGTATTCGCTTTTAAACACAAATGCATCCCACCAGTTCACAAAATGTACTTTTTTTAATGCACTGTTATTTAAACTAAATCTTAATTTAAATTGCAAGCTTGAAAATAATTACATTATTTTCAATTATTACAATTATGTAATAACTAATAACAATACTTTTTATTATTCTATACAAATTGTTTAAAATGTAATCACTTGTAACTAATAACTATAAAAAATCGAGTTAGTTATAAAGTTAAACCAAGTAACTAATTATAATTAAATCATTTATAATGTTAATTTATCAATTGTTTATTTTTATTTTAATTAATTATTAATTTGTTAAAATATAGTTACAATAATAATAGTATTAAACAATATTTAATGTAATTACTAATTATAGTCTGTAGGAGTATTGGTAAATGTTGAAGATTTCATAGTGGTTTCATGATTAAAATTACAAGGTAAAAACCTGTTTTATTTAGATTTGGCTTTTAATTAATTAACGCATAGAAAAAAAGAGATAAAAAAACAAATCAATTTTAACCCAATATGTCTTTGGAGTTTTGGAGACAACCACGTGACATAGATTTATGTAAGGATTGTTTTAACAAAAATGACTGTTATATCCTACGAGAAAGAAGTAAACTGTAAAGCCTTGAATAAAACATCTGTGGTATTTTTAATTAACGGGTTTTTTCACATGACAAACAACAGTCGAAATATAATAGTTGTTTAATACGACATCTGGTCTTGAAGAAATAATATTAGTGGTTTTTAACAAAGATGAATGTGAGAAAACTTTTTTTTATGCTAATACCAGCCTGAATAATGTATAAAACTGACAGTACAAATATGATGTAAAGGGTGAAAATCCAAAACGTACTACACCTAGTTACTATCAGTGAAACCAATTTGAAATATCTTATAATATGTGACGGGTAACCACTATAATAATAATTTGTACCTTATTAATTTAGATTACAAAAAAAAACTTATGTCAACAAATTTATTTATTCTACTTTAGGCTCTGCGTAAATATATTATAATAGCACATTAGTATTTTTTACTACTTTTCTTCTTTTAGTTTTTAAGTCCACTATAAAAAACATTATTATTTTATTAAAAAGCAAGATTATAATATTAATATCATTCTATGATTAAATCGCACCTGGCGGTAGTGCAAGTGTTAAGGAATCTTTACACTAGCATTTATTAAGGCGCATTTTATAGGAATTTTCAATAAAACTTTACCTAAGCTAAAAAAAATAAATAGTGTAAATTAAAGTCAGATTTTTGAAATATTGTCTATAAGTAACTCCTTTAAAAGTGGAATATATAATGTTTTTTAAGGGGACAAGACAGTAATATTTTATTTAAAAAAAACGAACTTCCAATAAATTTTAATCATGAAAATTAACTTATTGATTAATTTTTGGTAGCTTTAAAGTACAATTATTTTAGTAACTTTTAAATAATTTATTTTACATAAATGATAGCCATTTTGGTAGACAAATCGACTTCTTTAGATACTGTTTTATACTGTATCTCTCAAGCTAAGACTTGTAGGACGAAATTATAAATTTTTAATCAGCCCTGTGTCACTCTTATGTAAGTAGCTCAAATTAAATTTTATATAGAACTCTGTTTATTAATCCTATCGATTTATACATTATCTAGGTATTATACTCATAATATTAAGACAATATTATAATGTAAATTATACTTGCTATACATAATTTAATAATCGAAACTCCCATAGAATGTTACCACCAACCTACATAAGCTAGATTAATTTATAAATAATCTATTCGACCATTACATATTAATGCATGAAAATGTTAAATTATACGCCTTTTGTTAAGTATCTGCTCTATAATTTTATTTTGTATTAATTATTATTTTTTTTTATTTAGTCATGTCTTCTTAATTTAATGGTTTATATATTTGAATTAAAATATATATAAATTATATTTTAGTACTTACTAATCATATAAAATATAGTATATACAGTAACAGTACTTATAATATGTTTGTGTGAATTTAATAAATAAGTGTCTTATTTATTAAAAATTGGAGTAAATGTAAAATTTTAAATGTAGTAAATACTAAAGTTATAAGTTATTAAGGTCTAAAGGTTTTAAGGAATATTTATAAGTTAAAAATAATGTTTTATAATGACAAACTAACTAATAAAAAAACGAAAATTAGAGACAATAACATTTAAATATAGTTATTTTTTTTTATAACCTAAATTGTTAATTGGACGTCATACTCATTAAAATTAATAGTAAAACGTGTATATGAAAAAGCTTGTAGGTCAAAGGTTTAAATTTGAAAAAAAAATGTTATACGAATCTTATTTAGTCAGTAATACGAGTAGAGAGTACTCTGAACGTATTGTCCTTACTACACAACATCGCATGTGCTTGTTATGTTGCCTCTTTTGAGCGCCTAGTTTGTTAGCATCCCAAGTTTATCGTTTACTGCCAAACGATAGGTTTACCTAACCTTTTCATTTATTTGCCAAATATGCTACTCTGTCAACGATTGTATATTTTAAAACAAACTTTTGCGACTGAACTTGCTGCTATTCGTACGACATGCTGCATGTAAAGAAAATAATAACAATGCCTAGCGCGGAAAAAGATAAAGAAATGTATATTGTTTTTATTGATCTATGGATATTGTAAATTATGAAACATATTTCATAATTCCACACCCACGCTTATTCTTCTCGCGCTGTATCCGTCCCACACTTTTTTATTTTTTTTAACTTTTAGTTCTTTATCTTGACCTACTTTAGCACTTCCAAAATAAAACCCGCCAAACGTCATTTAGACAGTACAGTATATACTTTTTCCTATACAACTCAATACAAGTCATACCTAAATAAACTATTTTTGTTTATTTAATTTGTTTTTTTCTACTGTAGCCAAAATTTACAAAAATTTAAATTACAAATTATGAGTGCCATTACTACCGGAAAGGCAATACCATATGGTAGTAGCAGTCATTCTTATAAATGTTATTAAAATGATTACAATATATTATAAAATACATAAGTTAATTAGTAAATACACAATAATAACAAATATTAAGTTATTTTAGTAGATTTGAGCGAAAGAATAATTTGTTTGTAGATTGTACAGGTGATGCAAAAAGAAAAACGGATTTTTTTTACACTACAACTTTATTTGTAACTTCTTCTAACTTGTTTATTAAAAAAAAAATTTACATTAAAATACTCTGTAATAAACCTA